TTTTCAGTCCCATATTTTTGCCCTCCCCTCTGGCATTATCATTATAGAAATTTTTGTCTTTTGGTATGGTCCTACATATTCTCGTGTATTGATTTAGTTCTCTTGCAATTTTTTGTGTTACATTGCACACTCAGTACACTCTGCAGACCTGTATTCAAATCCTCCAATTCTGTCATTCATTAGCAAAACTCTATTGCTGAGAACATCAAGTGAGATGTACTTTCTAAGTTTCTATTGCTATAATTTTGGTCCTATAATTTCTACGAAGTATTTTTATACAGCTTCTGTAACTTTTCCGGGATTTTCTGTTTTTGTTTCAAGTGGGTTTATCATTGATTTTTGAAGCACTGTTGTAATGGTAGCTTTAAAATTCATATCAGATGATCCCAGTATCTAAATCCTGTTGCTATTGGCATCTGTTGGTTATTTTGTTTTTCTTGCTCAGATTGTGTGGGTTTTTTTTTTTTTTTTCCCCTCTGTTTTTGGTTATAACATAGATTTTTCAATTTTGTCATGGACATTTTAGCTGCTAGGTGAGGAGACTATTGATCCTATTTAAGCTTTTTGTTTTAGCAGGGAGTCATCCTGTATGTGTTTTGTACAGGGGTTTGATCTACTTTTGACAGCTTCGGTTCCAATAGCCATCTGGTTTTCTAAACCTTGCGGTGCTGTTCAGGTCTGCTTTGTTCCTCTGGCGTTGCTGAGGCTTTGTGCCTCCTGGTGTGATCTAAGGCTAGGAGAGCTCTTTGCCCTCAGCTGCCTGCTGTTTTTCCAGCTGCCTGCAAAACAAATACTTTAATTTTAATGTAATCAAATAGAACAAAGTTCTATCTTATCCCTTGGTGTGTGTGTGTGTGTGTGTGTGTGTGTGGGTGGGTGGGTGACAATTTTCTCTACCTATAGGTTATATTCTTCTGTATATTTTCACTAAAAGCTTTAAAGTTTGTTCTTAACATTCTTGATTTTAGATATTACCAAATTGCTTTTTAAATCATGATTTTAAAGATCCATTTCATACATTTAAAATAAATTATTGATGAAATTTTCCATCAACTTAGACCACTACAATTTAACATAGTACTGGAAGGTCTAGTCACTGCAATAAGACAAGAAAACACAGATAGGAAAGAAAAAGAAAACTCTTTTTATTTATAGAGGACTGACTGCATACATATCCCACAAAATCCCTCTCAGAAGGAATAAGTGATCTTACTGAAGTTGCAAGACATACTAATAAATTGCATTTCTAGATACTAACAAAAATCATGTAGAAAGTAAAACAGCAGCACCATTTGCAATTTTTCCAAAGAAAATTAATTACGCAGATATAAATATAGTAAAATGTATATAAGATAAATATAACAAGAATTATAAAATATTGGTGAATGAAATCAAAGATCAAAATATTTGAAAATACACAGCGTATTCATATTAGAAAACTCAATAAAGATGTCACATGTCTGAATGATCTATTTTTAACTAATGTCTTTCAAATGTGGGAAAGACTAAGGGGAGGTAGTCTCCCCTCCTGATATTACTGCTTACTGTGCAGCTGTAGAAAGAGAGCATGGTACTGACACATAGACACACAAATGAACAGAAGAGAAAGAACACTCAGAAAGAGACCCACCCACACATGCCTAATTTTTGATAAAAGAGCAAAAGCCATTTAATGGCAGACTGATAGCTTTGTGAATAAATTGTACTGGAGCAATTAGACATTCATTGGCAGATAGATGAAAGGAAAGGAAAGGAAAGGAAAGGGAGAAAGAGAAAAATTTACCCCAAAACAACACTGCATCTTATATTAATTTTTGCTCCAAGAAAATATGAAAGGACTTATATTCAGGAGATGGTCTATTTTTTTCAAGGTCAACCATATATATTTATTCATTTATTCATGTACAAAAGTCTATATTTATTTTTGTAATACTGTGTAATGCTACTTGGGTATTTACAAACACTATACACTACTTAATTATAATTAATATTATTTATTTTAAGTATTGCAGTAAATATTTATACTTCATTAAAAATATTTATTTCTATTTCATTGATATTTATTTATATTTCATATATTCATTAAATATATTTCATTATATTTGAAATATTTATATTTCATTAAGGCAAATATTTATTTATATTTCATATTAATATTATTTTATGACTCAATAGGTATATCCATCATTGTTGCATTGGGCATATTAGATGCTTCTATCTGGCTGACAATCTAAACTGGGTGTTATGTTTATGATAGGTCTTATGAGCATTCTGAAAAATCATGCTAGGGCTTATTTTCTGGTTAGATCTTATTTTCAGGAAAATATGGTAGATAGGACCTCTATATAAACTTCACATCTTATGTAAAAATTACCTCAAAGTGGACCGTGGATTTAGCAAACAAAGCATAAAACTATAAAACTTTCAGAAAAATCATAGAAGGAAGTTTTGCGGACTAAGAGTAGGTAAATAGTTCCTTAGACTTGATAACAAGTGTATGATCCATAATAGGAAAAACTGATAAACTGGATCAAGCTTATAGAATTTAAATCTTACAGCCGTGTGTGGTGGTGCAAGCCTGTAATCCCAGCACTCAGAAGGCTGAGACAGGAGGATCATTGTGAGTTCAAGACCAACCTGAACTGAATAGTGAGACCCTGTCTCAAAAAGATAAGAAAAATAAAGAATTTAATTCTTGATGTACAAAACATGGCAACTATTTTAATCAATATCAAGTGATCACACAATTATATATTTGTAAGAAACTGAACATATGATTTAAATTCTTAGTGTTACTTTTATTATACTTTCATAATATATGCACCCAGTTGCTATGTTTTTTCCTACTACCAGTTATTAAGCTTTTTGTACATGCACACTTAAAAAATGATAGTTTTTATTATGCTCTTTTTTTGCTGGGTTACAGTAATTTTTTTTTTTTTTGTCTTTTTGAGACAGGGTCTTGCTATGCAGTTCAGGCTGGACTTGAACTCACTTTGCAGCCCACGCTGGTCTCAAACTTGCAATGATCCTCCTGCCTCAGCTTCCCAAGTGCTAGGATTACAAGCATGCGCCACCATGTCTAGCTGGGTTACAGTAATGAAACAGTAAGAACCAAATAACAAATTTAGATTTAGTAGAAACACCTACTAAATTGGAGATTCACTAGGAAAAAGTATGCTTGAAAGAGACATGAAAACAAAAGATTAATCTGGGGTTATGAAGGAATAGATAGGTAAATATATGCCTAAATAATTAGGTAAGAGCTAGGTAAATAGATAGGTAAAAATAGGATATAGCCTGGTAAGCACAGCTGTCAAGAAGTTAGAGGTGACCGTGCTGTCTCTGTCCTCGGTGTGGAAGCAGGTGATTCAGTCTGCCTCACCAGTGACTGGGATAGATATTTGCTTTCTTACAGTACAAAAGAAAAATTGATAAATGGAAAAAAATATGGAACAGCTTATTAAAGTAAAACTTAATAAGCACCAAGATACTAAAATCTCATGCTGGGTTAAATGTTACAGGACTCATAGCAGCCACACAGGCCAAATACTGATTGCTCTATGGTGCTTGCAAGAAATGCCTTTCCTATCGCTCTCTGCCACATTATCCCTGGACTCTCACTGATGTGAGACTGGACAAATGGCAGAAACTGAAGCACATACCATTGCTTTAGGATTTGTATCATGTACATTGTCACAAGCATGGCTATCTTGTTTCTTTCCGGGTGGGAAAAGAAAATACATAATCAGAGTAAGGCAGCTGATGTACTTTAGGAAGATGTTACAGACACAGGTGTCTCTGACTTGAAAAGGAAGGTACATTTCCATGTCTAAGTGGGAGAAAAGACCCAGGTGAGGAGAAACGTGGGTTTCTGGTACCATGTTTGGAATCATAGGACAAGCTCATACTAAGCTCTCTTGAGATAGAGCTAATCTGAAAGGTTTTTGTTTACTTTTGATCCAAACCTGGAGGAATTTCCAACTAAAAGACACAGGAAAAAGAGAAAAATTGCTTAGAAGGGTCTCCTTGGAGCAGGAAATGTATCCTGTGTTGCACTCTCTTGCTGCGGTTAAAGGCACCAAAGCTAAGGTCACAACGGAAAGAGAAGTTAGAGCCAGAGACAAAGTCTTTGCAGCACCACGGTCAGATTAAAGGGGAAATTCCTACAAATCAGTAAGCAAAAGGCCAAACTTATTTTTTAAATGGGACAAGACTCATGGTTTCATTTGGAGGAGGAGAAAAAGCGGCATGGTTGGCCTGGAGCTCTTGGGAAAGGCTGGCTGGAGTGGGTGCTGAGATTTGAGTGTCTGTATTAGCTCCGCAGAGCTGGAGCAGAACCACACCCACACAGAGAGCACTTCCGCAGCTCAGTTCTGTGAGGCAAAAGCACCAGCCCAAAGCCAACCGGGGATGTGGCTCAGCAGTAGAGCTCTTGCCTTGCACAGAAAGGAGGAAGGGTGCTTTCCCAGTTCCCAGGCAGCGTTGTTCCCATGGCTATGGCAGTGGGAACATTGTGGTAAGATCTAAATGAGGATACCACACGCTGGGGAAATAAAGGATCATGGAGATATGGTGTCCTGATTCCTGCCTCAGGTCATCTAACTCCTGTAGATGCTATCAGGAATTCTGCCAGCTCTTTTTCTTTTTCTTTTTTGTCTTTTTGAGACAAGGTCTCGCTATGCAGTTCAGGCTGGCCTTGAGCTCACTTTGTAGCCCAGGCTGTCCTCAAACTCGCAAGGATCCTCCTGCCTCAGCCTCCCGAGTGCTGGGATTACAGGCTTGTGCCACCACACCCGGCTGCTTGCTCTTTTTCTAATAGTGAGGATTAGAACAAACACATTCCCAAAGTCAGAATTTATGGAGAGCAGAAAGAGCTGGATTGGAGACCTGATCTATCACACCACCTAATCTGTTGATGTATATCCCAACCACTGAAAGACTACAGAGTGGAATATAAAAGTGAATGGCGAAAAATGTGCTTTCGTAAAACACCAACATTCATTTTCCCAAGATAGAACTTTATTTGAGGCATCAAGCAAGATACTGAAAGAGCTGAGTCATGCACGATAATGTCCTTAATTCCATAATTGTGCAGCCGTGGATATGCTTCCTGCTAAACGGATGGATAGTGCTCAAAAAAGGAAAAGCAGATGCGCTTTTACGCATCACCCCACGTACACAGTGGGGAGTCTCCGGTAAGATTAGTTTCTTCTTCCTTAAAAGATATGTAGCGTTTACTTGGGCAAACTGAAATAGTTGAGCTCTGCTGTTGAGGATAGAGTTTCTCCCGGGTGTTATTTATGAAATAACGCAGCTGCCTTTTTCTTTAAAGGGATTCTTGTCTTCTGGAATTCCCTTCACCAGGGGATCCTCCCCAGAACGTTCTTCAATATAGTTCTTTATTTCTTCCGAACATTTAGACACCTGAAGGGCAGAAGAGAAAAGAAAGAATGCAGTAGGGTCAGGCATGCTCAAACTTTCTCAGAATCGTGTTGTGAAAGTACTACAACTGAGTTAATCAGCTTTAAATGTGTTTTTAAAATATTGATATATGTATATTATCTCTGTGCTGGATGCTAATCATTTTATTCTATTCTATTTCTATATAAAATACAGTCTATGTGAAGTATATTTCTTACTACCGGTCAAAGTTAGAAAAGTTTGAAAGTCACTGTATTCAATAGATCTTTCCCAGCAGTATCTATTCATTATGACTCACACATTTTTTTTCCTTCCTCTGTTAAAATACAGTTACAACATTTTTGACGTATTTTTAGAGCAGTGGCAGGTAATTCCCAAGTGCTGGGGGGGGTGTTATGTGACACCTCTCACTTTGGAGTGTGTCCCAAATTCTGGAATTTCACATTAACAGACACATTAGTAACAGCCAGGCACTGGAAAGGCTGGAGTTGCCGTAATACTTCCCTTTGTGGGTCTGCTCAGAGTTCCCTCCTGCCAGGTTATAGCCATGATCACAGACTTACCAGGTTTCTTAGATATTTTTGTGTTTACACAATCGGCTTAAACTTTTTCTACAATGCAAAAGAGGTGGGGGAAAAAAACTATCCTTAAGAGACAAATTTCAACTAGGATAGTTGTTTCATTTTGTTTTGTTTGTACCAGGAATGGAACTCAGGACCTTGCGCTTGCCAGGCAGGCAATGTGCCGCTGAGCTATGTCCCTGGCTGCAACTAGGAAGGTGGCGGTGGGGTAGCGGGGAGGCAGAAGAAGGATTACTGTCTTAATAAAGGTCTGTATTACTAGTAAAACATTAGAAGTAAAAATTATAGTTCTAGCAAACTGCCGTGGAGACACATCAGAGTGGGCAAATGATCCCACTGAATTTATAATCTAGATTGGTAGTTTCAAACTGTTTTAATGGTTATCACTAAAACATGTTTGCATATGCCTCCTAAAACGCGCATAATATTTACTTATAAGTGAATTCAGAGACCACAGTGTTAATGCATCATGTGTAATTACAAAACAAAGTGGTAATTAAAGGGATGAGATAGAAAACTAGAGAAAAATAGAAACTTTATTATTTCACTCACACATCCTAAAGGGCAGTTCTTCGTACAGCAGCATGGAGGGCCAGGGATGTAGCTCAGCGGCGCAAGCACCTGCCTGGCAAGCGCAAGCTCCTGAGTCTGATTCTCAGTACAAAAAAAAAAAAAAAAGCAATATGGAGGCCACTGATCTAAAGCCTGTAATCCCAGCACCGCCGGAAGCTGAAGCAGGACTGAAAAGTCAGGTGTTTCCTGGACCACTCAGGGAGACCCTGTCTCCGAATTTTAAAAAAATTAAAAAGGGGGTAGGAGGCTGGGGCTGTAGGTCAGGGTGAAGGTCATCAGTCTAATACCCAGTACCACAGTAAAGAAAGAAAGAAAGCTTAAAAGCGGGTGATGTCATTATCTGACTTAACATACTGTAAAATAAAATGTGCTCAAGGACCATTCTTTCGGGTAACATTTGCTCTCAGTTTTGCTGACCTTCACAGTGTGTGCATTTTAAATGAATCCAAAACTGAGGAAGCTAGCGTCCACCCTCGGAGCCCGTGGCTGTAGGAAAATTTCTAGGTGAGAGTCACATTCTTCACATCGTACTTACTCTAACAGATCCTCTTTCATTAGGTTTGTGAAGAGGCCATCGTCTCCAGCGGTGAAAAATTATTCCTGTGGTGCCTTTGCTTCCATGATCAAGAGGATATATCTGGTTGGTAATTAATTAGACACAACCTGTGAATTTGTCTCCTTGGCCTTAGCCAGGGACAGGGCTCAGACATGAGTGATAGAACAGTGTTTGTAAGTACTTGGTGCTCACTCTGTGGTCCTTAGTGAGGAACTAACTAACCTGTCTGTGACTCAGGGTTTTTATTCCTCTGTGTGTGTGTGTGTGTGTGTGTGTGTGTGTGTGTGTGTGTTTGAGACAGGGTTTTGCTATGCAGTTCATGCTAGCCTTGAACTCACTTTGTAGCCCAGGCTGGGCTTGAACTAGAAGTGATCCTCCTGACTCAGCCTCTGGAATGCTGGGATTATGCACCACCACTCCCGGCTTTTATTCTTAAAGCAAGGTAGAACAGTGTCTAAAGAGCTGAAATGCTTGTTGTGCACTAATTCACAGTGCGGAATAAAATATGTTTGAAAATGATTAAGACCTAGATACCTCTCCCTGTGTTCTGAAGGCTTCTCTCCCTCTGCCACACACCAGGGGTGGCAGGAGCTGGAAAGCAAAGGCTGCAGGGTGTGTTCTAAGGGGCAGGGCTGCCGGCAGGGAGAAACTGCTCAGGAATGAGGTTTGATTTTTACGATGTCCCTTGCACCCAGGACACTGCTCATTATCTAACTTGAAACTTTAAAGAAATGAAAGAGACTTGTCTGTTTTTTCCCCTGTAAATTCTGCACAGTGATCCCAAATATTAAGATATTCCAACTTGGCACCAGCAACGGGTTACTTTCGTATATGCAACGCTGGTGAATACGTAACCCCTCAGGGGAAAAGAAAAAAAGAAATGTAAGCGGTGGACATTTGCTTTATTGTGGGCTCTGCCCCCCCCCCCCAGGGAAAATGACTCACCTTCAAGAGTCAAGCTTAATAATTGGGCCTTGTAACTGCGTTTATCTCTGTGAACACACTGATACTTTTAAAGTCACAAAATCCTCCACATGGAAAGAAAAGACAACACCCAGGAAAAGCTAGGATTTGGAATTAGGAAATAGAAAGCTAAAGTTGAGCAAAGAACCGTGTAAAAAGTAAAACTTAAAAAACCAGATTCTTCAAGTCGTCCCTCAAGAAGTCTAAGGCCCCTGTTACTAACACAGGCAAAACAAGACAGCAAGGGAGCATATTCCCAGTATTTGCTGCATTTGTATTGTTCCTCTTATTTTTTTCAAGTATTAAATTATAAATAGAACCTGTTCAATTTGGGGGAGGGGGCTGCGGAGAAAAGATTTCCTTTAAAAAGCATCTCTCTAAAGGTCTTTCCAAAAGAGGTTGCTAGCCTGTGTAAAACAGGACAGGACGAAAGACGAGTGTCGTAGTGAAAGCTCCCGTGGCTATTAAGAAATTGAGGCAAAAATTACAAACCCTCCAAGTCTCAGTGGCGACTTCTAAATGCCGGGACTTAATGCTCTCCGTGAACTTGTAACCCCTAGCAGTGAGTTCTAAAATTTTTTAATTGCAACTGTATTCACCTCGGTGTAGATATAATTATTTATTCATAAACATGAGTCCATTATGCACTCATGGACAGCATAAAGTGGATAATTACTATAAAGGGAGGAAATTTACAAATAAATAAAAATAGAAATTCTGACCTTCCGCACGCAAGCCGCAGGGAACCGTCTTAGCCCATCCCTGAAGGCCACTGGTAAAACTGAAAGCTCGGGAAACTTTTAAAGATGGTTTTAGGAGGGCTCTTTCGTGAGGAAGTGGCCATCTGCCTTTTTCCTACAAGTCGGGTTTTGGGAGCAGCCGTCCAGGACAAGCGGGACTTTGTGTCCGGTCCCCACCGATCCCCACTGCTCCCCATTCCCCACTGAAGTGTGTCCTTCGCTGTCAGGGCTTTTGCTTTCCTTTTTGCTAGGGTTCCCGAGCCCGGGCAGTTCCCAGGCCCTGCACAGCGTCCCCTCGGAAAAAGCTGCACGAACTCACAGCTCCGGTCCGGGTGTCCCTGCCAGGCGGCGCTGGCCCCGCTGCGCTTTGCAGAGAGGCGGCTCTGCGGCGGCCCCCTTACCTGCTGTCTCTGCAACTTGACCTCCTTTCGAAGTTGCTCCACTTCCATCTTCAGCTTTTCCTTCTCGGGCAAATCCTCGATGTGCAGCGCGGGCATCGTGGCCCCGCGGTGGAGCCCTGGGCGCCTCCCGAGGTGACTGGGGGCCGGCAGGACGTGACGCCCCCGCCCCGGCTCGGCTTCCTCCGGACTTCTGCCGGGCCAGCCCTGCCCGGAGGCCGGACTCTCGCACCCTGGCTGTCGCGCGGGTCCCCAGCCCTGGCGGCCTGCGGGGCTGGGCTGGGCAGGGCCAAGGTGCAGACGCCCCGCCGGGGGAGGCTGGGTCAAGCCTGCTGGACCACTAATTTATTTATTATTATTATTATTATTTTTGCTTTTCTAAATCACATCTGGGTTTTGTTTGTGAAACACGGAAATAGAGGACTTTATCCAGCAGGAAATAACGGCCCTTCACCTTTCCAAAAGTTGTAAAACTTGGCAGTCTGAAAGTTTTCCATCTGTACAGTGGGCAAGCTTGAGCTAAACACCATGCAAACGGAAAGGCTGCTGTTATCTCCGAAATACCCTCCAGCACGCTGGGGATGTTCACCCCTGCGGGCCCGAAAGGGAGTTTATACAATTTGGGAGGAGGGAGGAACAGGGGATTCGGATAGGAACCCTGTGTTCGAGCTGCGTGGACGTCCTCTGTCGTTCAGTGATCATCTGCATCCCGACCAGCAGAATTTATTTGCCCCTTTCACGATTTGCAATGATTGGTTTTGCCTGGCTCTCCTCTCCTCATCCTCCGAGGACCCGGAATTCTTGACCCCCACTAGATGTAGGCGGTGACGTCATCGCTTCGGTTGGGGTTCTCTGTTTCCTGGAAAATGACACTGTTGCTCTCTACAGCTAGGAAGAGTGTCTGGAGCGAAGAAACGTTTAAATGCAGTAAAAAAAAAAATGCAGTATAAACTTTCCCTTTGAGCATGAGCTCATGAGCTAAAGCATTGTTAATAGCTCCAAAGAATAGAAGAAGAAAACCACAAATGTTGCAAAACGTTTCCCGGCAGTCAAATATTTTTCTTTCTCTCCAAAAATAACCTCCTAATGGTTAAGGAACAGTTGGAGGCCTTAGCTAAATATTTCAGAGTTCATGACCTTAGACACCAGGAACTGTTCTCTGATTCCCTGGAATATCAGGCGAGCAAAGTGATTGGAGCTTGCGCTTTTGAACTCTGGTTTTCAAAGTTGATTATTTTCCGGTTAGGTCTTATTTTCCGGGAAGCACGGATGTGTCCAGGTAGGTTAAATCACTCTCACACAAAAAACTTTGGGAGGTTTGTTTTCTATATTTGGAATACCTGGGATCACCTAGATTTAGAAGTTTCCTCATCTGCTGAAGTTTTATTTCTTAGTAAACATGAGTCAAGTCAAACTCGAATGTTTCTCCAGAATGGATTCATTGTTTTAGCCATTTCCTATTTCTTTACTTTAAAAGGTTGGTTAAAAATAATTTCAACAAGTGGATGAAAGTAATGAATGTAATGGAGCCTAAATTAAAAGAAGTCCAGCACCAAAATTAAATGAGTTGGATAAGTAAATTAAGGTGAATACATCTGTTCTAGGTCATAAAAATAGAATTATTTTGGCCTGGAAGTTTTCATCTAGTTCTATGCAGGGGTACATATTTATATACCATGTTAATTCTTTAACGTTTTCTATGGTATTATGAGGCTTAAATTAGACACTAATATGCAATTGTCTACTGTTGTTTTTACTTTGCATTATCATATAAGTGCACAGTGATAAGCAAGTTAATCTAAAATGAATGGTGAAATGTTGATATCCCATAATTGCACAGCATTCTGAAAAATATTTTGTGGTTGCTTTCAATCTTAAAAGCTAAAATGAGGAGTAAACTTTTTTCTTTTTAACAAGAGTATGTAACCCCTATCCTTTGGCACTGAATTTACGTTCCAAAGAAGAACGGTATTACAATTTTTCATGTATTCTTACAGAACTATTCTATCAGCAATGTGCAAAAGTTTTAAGTAAATACTTTTTCTTTTTTGTGAGGCTGGGGTTCCAATCTAGAGTGTCTCACATGCTAGGCAAGGGCTCTACCACTGAGCTACCCCACAGCCCAGAAGAAACAAAGTTTTGAATAAACAAATTTTGAATAAGTTTGTCTTAGTGGTGTCCAAACGTGGTGCTTAGTGCTAACTAATTTCTTATCTTCCATACAATACTCCTACTGAAAATCATTTTACAAAAATAGTATGGCATGAAATCACTTTGTAGTAAAACGGACAGGTTTAACCAGAAGTGAATTTTTATTAAAAGCTCACTGTAGGGGTTGGGGATTTAGCTCAGCAGCAAAAGCGCCTGCCTGGCAAGCACAAGGTTGTGAAGTTCGGTTCCCAGTACCGGAGAAAAACCAAAAAAAAAAAAAAAAAAAAAAAAAGCCCACTGTATTTTGACAAATGTTTAAATGAACCTGTTTAATAGTAACTTTTTTTCACTTTTAAATTATAAGAGGAAAGACCATGAAAGTTTTACTTTGACATTCAAAAAGGAGAAAATCATATTCATTCTTAATTATTTTCTGATATTTATGTGATTAAAATTATATGAAGAAAACACTACATAAAATATTGAAAGAAGTTATATTGGAACTGCTTTAATATTAACTTGAAATCAACACATTCTCAATGCCTTTTCTGTAAATATACAAGGTTAAGTCCTAAATTCTGCCTTTCTAAAATTTATGATGTAAAAAGTGACTGTTTAGGTCATTAAAATGATAGTTTGGGGTTGTTTTTTTGTTTTTTTTTTTTTTGTATTTTTCTTTAGAACCAGGTTTGATGGCACTGTCTGTAATCCTAGCACCTAGGAGGCTAAGGCCATTGGATCTCAAAATCCAAACCAGCCTGGGATATGTAGCAAGACCCTGTTTCAAAAAATAAAAACATAAAACAAAACACATTCAGAATGGAAAAGGTAATTTCTTTATGAAAGGTATTTGGTTTCTTTTTTTTGTTTTTCTTCCAGTACCAGGAATCAAACTCACGACCTTGCACTTGCCAGGTAGGCGCTGTGCCAGTAAGCTAAATTCCCAGCCCCATGAAGGGTATTTGGCGCGTATTTTTTTTTTTTTTTTTTTTTTTTTGAGACAGGGTCTCACTGTGCAGTTCATGCTGGCCTTGAGGTCACTTTGTAGCCCAGGTTGGCCTCAAACTCACAAGGATCCTCCTGGCTCAGCCTCCTGAGTGCTGGGATTACAGGCGTGCACCACCATGCCTGACATTTGGCATACAGTTGATGCATTCTTTGTTCACTTGATACTTGATTCAATCTGTTATGATAATCACATGGCAGTTTTGAGCAACATGCTTATTCCAAGTAACTATGTACATAAGATCTGTTTTCTAGATGGAGGAGTCAAGTGATAGGACAATATGGGTCTGATGTGCCAATTACCTCAATAAGTAAGTACAATTCATAATATCAAAACAATGTATCAATATTGTCCCTATAAAACTTTAATTCTCATCATATATAATTGATCATTTTCCTTGCTCAGTTAACTATTTTCCTGATATTGATAAAATACTTTCAGGAATTTAGGAAGTTTGAGATTTACTTTGTTTTGGAATCTGTCTAAAATCAAAGCATGCTGGGCATGGGGGTGCAGGCCTGTAATCCCAGCACTCAGGAGGCTGAGGCAGGAAGATCACTGTGAGTTTGAGACCAGCCTGGGCTACAAAGTGAGCTCAGGGCTGGCCTGAACTGCCTAGTGAGATCCTGCCTCAAAAAGACAAAAATAAAATAAAATAAAATAAAATAAAATAAATAAAAAATCCAATCAAATCAGGCTTAATACAAATAATGGTGAGTTGCTTTGCTGTTGTTTTTGCTAAAGCTTAAACTTGTCCTTGTATGTAAAGTACCTTCAAAGTTCAACCATCTCAAATGATGTATTATCGAATCTATAACTCATCCTCCCCAGTGACATCAGAAAGTTTTGTTTTGGGGCCAAATGTTAAGAGTCCGCAGGAGTACTTCCTGTTTCCCTGTAGTCTTACGCATTCGCTTTAACCTGGTAACCCAGCTTTGAAGTAACAACTCTGAACAATACAGTCACTGACTCTTGTAGCTGCACTCCCAGAGGGAACAGTCATGATTTCATTTCCTTCCTTGCTTGGCCTTTTTTTCCCCCTATACTTCCTTCCCATAATTTCTCTCTCACTCAAAATTCTGCTGACAATCCGTGTCTCACCCTGCTATTGATCTCATCATTCATTAATCCATAAAAACTCTGAATTAGCTAATGTAAACATTTCACAAGTGCTGTCTTTGTCTGCTCTTTGAGTTAAATATTTATGAAGTCAAATTGTAGAGACAATTTGTCAGTTGATATGGCAGTTTCAAAGATGAACAGAGTTTCACGCTTGGGAAATTAGCGGTATAGCATTGAAATTAAGGTAACTGTAAAAATTATAATAAGTAATGTTAAATAACTTAAGAGATTCAGACGTTTGAGGTAGTGGGGAAGCAGCTATTCTTAGAAGGAGAGAAGGATTTCAAAAGGCTGAAGTGAGTTTTTATGGATTAATGAGTGATGAGATCAATAATAGGGTAAATGAGTAGAGAGATATTTCAGGTGAAGGGATCTGCCTGATCAAATTTCAAGTGGGAAGCACGATGTTATGTGAAGGATTATTTGCCAAGTATAGGACTCTTATAGGATTTATAACAATAGAAGACATTTGTTAAGGTTTCTTCCAATATGCCTGTCTGGTTAGAATAAAAATATCAAAATAGGGTCTGTCCAAAAAAAAGAATCTGTCCAAATCTATCATTTTATGCACACGGAAAAAGAATTTGTTCATAGAGTAGTAGTTGCCTGTCCAAAATTCTCAATAATGTGGAAGAGCGAGGGTTTTAAGTTAGAACTGCCAGGCTCCAAAATCTATCTCCACTTGTAAGGTGACAATGAGAAGTAACTGTCGGTTAGAGCTGTGCTTTACAAGTCGCTAAATGCCGTAGCAAAGACTTTGTGTTTATTTTAGTCAGAATAAAAGGATATCTAGGACACTCACTGAATAAACACTGCCTTACAGATGGAAGATTCTATGAGACAGACCATAACTAAATAAAGTATATAGTGTGTTTGATGGTGTTAAATAACTTAAGAGATTCATATGTTCGAGGTCGTGAGGAAACAAAGATATGGAGGAAAACGCATATCTGGGGAAGCGGGACAGGAAGTGCTTGAGTGGGAGGAGAGGGATTTCGTATTTTTAAACAAGAGGAAAAGAATTTCTCCTCAAGAGAAAAGAGGCTCCACAGTTTATCCTTTGAGATGGAAAGCATATAAGATGTGTGTGGTACAGTGTGTTTGCTCACTGTTTAGCCAGATACCCAGAGTTTTGATCTAGAGAATTTTCTGATTTACTTCTCCGAGTCTTTATTTTTCTCTGTTTCAAAGTGAGGGGATTGAACAAGATCAACAGACATTTGCTGAGCATTTACTGTGGTCAAAGCTGGAGGGTATTGAACTGGGAGCTAAGCTTAGAATGACTTTGAACTCCCTTCTAGATCAAAAAATAGAGGATTTTAAACTTGTTTTTAAAAGAATGGCGATCAATTAGCATTTCAGAGTGTTCTGATGACTACTGCATCCAGCGTAGCACAGCAAATTCAAGTTAATAATCAGAAAACTCAGACAAAAAGTAGTTTCTGATTTGGGGTAATTACACCTGTCGTTGGCTACAGAAGCAGAGGCAAGTTAGTAATGGCAATTTCTGTACCATTCATCCTCATCCTGCTATGGAAAAGATTGTGCTAGTGAAGTTCTTCATGGGACTGAGATAGAACAAAATTTATATTAAAGGATTCTAGAATTATTACTATTATTATTATTTGGTACTGGGAATCAAACTCAGGACCTTGCACTTGCCAAGCAAGACACTGTGCCATTAAGCTATATCCCCAGCCCACTTATACCCCCAGCCCAAGAAATTTCGCCCACTTCCTTTTCTAGTAATGATACTAGTTAATACTTACTGGGTCTAACTATGTGCCAGGCAATATGCTAAGTATTATAGTTGCACTACCAAATATTTACACTATACAAAAATAGGGGAGGAGGGAATCATGGACATCTTTATCTTCCAGTAAAAACATCTGAGACCTAGAAAGAATTAAGAAATGTATCCAAAGTCAATTAGGCAGTGTAGTGTCAGAACCATAACACTCTGTGTCCTAAATTTGTGGTCATAACTTTCACTCAGTTGCTGGTTAAATTCACTGTGCCCTATGACCAAAGACAAAAGAGTTAGTTCCATTTGTATTCTGGGAGAAAGTCACATCATCAGTGACAAGTAGAGCAAAAATCTTTGCAGTGTATATCTTTCATATAAAAGTTATCTTTGAACCCAAGCAACAGACTTTCTAATTCTTTCAGTAAGGGGAATATTGATAAAAATATGACTAGCTGTAAATTATGACTCTATAAAATTTATAATGTAACTACTTAAAAATAAGTTTAACTGTAAAAGTCTGCCTCCTTTTATTCTAAAGGTAGCACATTCTGAGTAATGAAAGGGAACTGGAGAAACATAAAATATTGCATATATGCTGGCATCTCAGAGAACTAGAAACTCAGGTTATTCCTAAACCATAATAACTCTTTTTAAAGAAGGTTTCAGAAAAACATAAATTTACATGTTATTATATCCTGGGTTTTATTAAAAGTTTACATTTGCAAATTTCAACATTCATGTAATGTTTAATTATATATGAGAACAAAAATTTACATTGTTATTAGAATTCTAGATACTCCAGGGACATTGTTTGTTTCTTTTATGAAATCACACAGCCTCCTTTGAGCTCCTTGAAGGGATTTTTGTCCTCGGGGATACCCTTTACCAGAGGATCCTCGCCAGATCGTTCTTCAACGTAATCCCTCACTTCTTCACAACATTTGGATACCTTAAGAGGAAGAAGAAGGAGATGACTCATTTAGTTTGAAACAGAACAGTGCACATGCTGAGAATTCATTTACTATGATAAATGTTCATGCTGTATCTTTTTAAAAGATTGCTTTCTGCCAAGGCAAATATCTATATAATTTCCCAGGACAGAAGAAGACAGCACCGCCCCCATCCTACTCTGCTGGGTATCTCCAAACAGTACCCCCAGCTGGACCTTCCAGTGAAGGAGCCCCATCAACCACGCCTCTGCTTCCTCACAGTAGACGGGATGCATGGAGCAGAACCCAACTGGAGACAGTCACCGGATGTTACCAGAGCGAATATTAAGTATACCTCTTTCTTCTCTCCAAAAATGTGACTTGCAAAGGTGGAAAGGAATGAGTAATGGTTTACTTCCAGGCTCCTCACCAGTCCTGGATGCTATAAAATGCAGCTTTTCTTCAAAGCCCCCTACAGTGATCGGTTATGACAGCACAGGCCATGAAATCCAAGGGGTCAGGGACTGGGGCCAACTGGTTCGGTGAAACTCAGGCATCTGGAACACAGCCTGCTGCACAGAACCATGCTTTTCATTTATGAGCTCGTTCCTCTCTCATCTGCATCATTCCAGTAATGACTTAGGGAGAAAACAAAGCTTTAGTGTTTTAATGGACCCAGAGAGGCGATGTCCACTAAGTGACCATTTCATAAGTTATTTAGCTTCCTGATTTTTTTCATGTAAAATCTTACAACATATATACTATGAATACATGTGTATATACATGTATAGTATGTATATATAAATGTACATGCATGTATATATGTATGTATGGCTGAATGATTGTGTCCCCCAAACTTTATATGCTGAAATTCTAACCCTCAACTTGATGGTATTAGGAGGCAAAGCCTTGAGGAGGTGATTAGTTCAGAGTGGCCAAGCCCTCATGAATGGGATTAGGGTTCTTAAGAGAAGCCAGAGCGCTCGTTGCCCCTTGCCCCATGGAAGAACACAGCAGAAACGTGGTCATCTGTGAAAGAGGGAGGGAGCAAACCCTTGATCCTGGACTTGCCAGTTGCCAGAACTGTGAGAAAATGAAATAAATTTCTGTTGTTTATAAGCCATCCAGTTCACAGTAGTCCATCATAGCAGCCTAACTAGAATCAGACAGTGTGTTTGTGTATGGGGATGTGAATGTGTGTAGGGCTATGCATGTGTGGAGAGAGAGAGAAAGAAAAAGAGAGAGGAAGATGAAGACCGAGACAGAGACAGAAAGACATAGAGACTTTTGCCATCTAATATGAAATTACTTTAACTTCTAAGAAGAAGGTGATGTGGAGCAATGCAGGAAGGGAACTGCTAAAGCAGCCCAAGTGTATGTGATATTTACCCACAATAAAAACTCCAAAATGAGTTTAACCTAAAGGCAAGTAAATCTCTGACAAAATAACAACCTACAGTATATAAATAATAACACAACTTTTGAATAAGTCAAATGAAGGGAAAAATAATCCCTCTCTTTTATGCCAAAAGTTTATTTTCCCAAAATTCTAAAGATGAGGGCTTTACATTGTGATGTGTTTCCCAAGCTCTTATGCCGGCTATGGATTGAACGTTATCTTCATAGCAAAACATGTTTTGCCTGTATAAAAAAGACAGCAGGGGAGCTGGAGGCAGTTTCACACACCAAACGAGCCAATTTTGATTGGGAGTAAGAGTTCTGAGCAAAGTATGAAAAGACTATACACTCCCTTTTTCACTTTGTACTGATGAAAAGATATCTTTTAAAGTAGAAGATATGCTGTTATCACTTGTGAGGGCAGATGTGTTCTGTTACCTGTCCTAAAACAAGGAGATTTCAGTACATTTTCCAAAAATTAGTCACTGTTTAGTGGAACTCCTCATTCCTGTGCTATTTCTGTTCTTCTAATGGAAGAGAGCTCTTGGTAACCATTTCCAAGAACTATCAGATGCTCTTAGGAGGAATTAGTAAGTTCTTGTGCCTGAACTTGCCTCACTGCCTTGGCAGAAGAAGAATAGCATGTACTCATTTATTACTGACCATGACCGTACCGGGGAGGACAAAGCCCTCACTTGAAATATATCAACAACATCAAAATATTGCATCAAATAAAAAAGTTGCCAATTTAGAAAAGTCAAAACAAAATGCTTGTATGCACGTTTCACTCTGATGCTCAGCTAAAATGTGGTGTGTGTCATATTTTCCACTTCTTTTCTTCTTTCCTTCCTTTTTTCTTTCCCTCCACCCTTCTTTCCTCTTTGCAAAATAGTGCGTTTAAAAATTAAAACATTTCTTAGCTTACTGATCATTAAAAAGGACAGACGACAGACTGACCTCTGCGTAAAGAAAACCGGTTTCCAAGCCTTTGATTGAGTGTCTACGTTATGATAATTAACTTTCTCAATCTTGGATGAATTTTACATATGAACAGTTTATGCTTAAGTATATCACACTGCTCTGCTAATAAAGAAAGAAAGAACAAGGGGTAGCAAATGTTTTCTCAGCTGCTTCCTCCACGGGCTCTCTCATTTAATATAAAATCTGAGTGAATGAGGCACTTACCAGCATTCGTTCCAGCGTGACCTCTTTCTTGAGCTGGTCAACTTCCATCTTCAGCTTGTCCTTTTCTGTCAGGTCCTCAATATTGATCACTGGCATCTTTTACCTGTTGGAGAGGTAAAACTTTAGCACATACACCTGAGCTCCTGGATACACTTCAGTTCAGTCTTAACCAACCCTTCTTTCTGCTTTTAATTTACCAAATAAACTGTTCTTGGTTGTATCTTAAATTTCCTGTAGTAATCACCGTCTCATGAGCTCCCTCTGAGCTATTCCACCACTACTGCAAACTAACCTTGGGATCTGAAGGCTTCTCCATAATCTTCACTAATATGATTAAATCAAGCATTTGACTCAACACCTGCCAGTAGGTTAGTGGGAGGGGCCCGTTTATTCCACACATAATCTGAAACACTTAAGGTTCCTCTTTCTTTTGGTATTTTGCACAATGTAAACTTTTAGGTTTTCAACTCTCATCTCCAGTATCAAAAGACCTCCACCATAAAATTTACGCCATGTATCTGAATTTGGGATCACTATGCCATGTATTTATGCCATGTATCTGAGTTTAAGACTGCTAGTTTGGGACTGCCACCATAAAATTTATGCTAGGTATCTGAGTTTGGGACTGCCAATTGATCCCTTAAAAATGCTAGAGTTTTTAATCTGGTGCCAAAGAAAACTGTATAAAAAGTATCACTATAAGATACAATATGACAATAAAAAAACCATTTCTTCCTGGGTAAACCATCATAAATAATGGACTAAAGTATGAACTGAAGTATGATGAGATGGAAATACAGTAAACAACCAAGCTTCTTAGTCAGAAATAAACTAGTACATTATTTTGGAGTGTTTCTCTAATCAATACCTAGAAAGTTTTATGTAACTGTCATATGAACTGAGTAAGAGTGATGAGAATATCTAACAGGTTAAAGGGAACAAAGTGAGTCCAATCTATCAATGGGCATAATATAAGACCAATAGATTCCTTTCCCTCTTAGCCTCCGATCTTCTCAGTTGGATCCATGTGTAACCGAGAACATGCATAGTAGCTGGTTGTTTTCCCAGGAAATTGCCAGAAAAGTATTTATTGTAGCCAAATGGCATCATGCTTCCAGTCTCTCCTTTCCTGGGTCTCTCTTTCTTTGTCTTTTGTCTGTCTAGTCTACTATTTATAAGAAAGTGTTTTTTATGAAACTTGATATGCAGATGACATATATTTCAAAGAATAACAGCTATATGAAAATATATCAGCAATTAACTTATTTCCTTGTATTCACATGGCACTTTAATGTCTAAAACTTTTGAGGAAGTATTTCCTCTCTTCCTAATCTTAGGATATTCAGTTCTGTTCTGGGAAAAAGGCAGTATGGGATATTTTTAAGAGTGAATGGCTGCATAAGGTGCCACAGAGAGAGAAAAGAACATCCATTAAAGAGAATTTTAAAAAAAAAAAACATTATAAATGTACACAGTTTACTTTCTTGAATGGTTTGATCAACCCTTCAGTCTTACATTTGGTAATCTGACCAACTTCGCTGAAGATAAAAATATGTAATATAACAACCACTGTTAATTCCTATCATTTTGTTCTGAAACCCTGTATCATTCTTATTGTTTTTGCTTTGCTTGTTTTTGTCTATGTTGTTGGCATTTTGCTGTTGTTCTTTTTTTATTCTCTTTAAAATAAAAAAAAGAAAAGAACATCTTGAGGGTGCTCGTGCCTGGTGTCTCTCACATCTTTGTTTTTACTATTCTGTTCTTTAACATATGACAATAAAGAAAGTCATTTCTTCCAGACAGTAATGGTTTGGTACTTGGAAATCCATTCTCAATTTCATTTTCACCTCCTTCTTATCTCTGTTAGACTATATATAAAACTTCACGAGCATTTTCACAAGTACAGATTAGTTTTACTCGCTAATATTGTCCTTTGTACAAGTTCCCTCCAAATTAGAAGATTTATACCTGTAAGTAATGGCTCTGACAGTTCAAGGTGTGTATGAACCACTTCAGTTTTTATAGTAGTCACCCTGGGTTATTAAGGTTGGTTATTATTCTTTAAAGAAAAGGCCATGCCTTGTTAAAATATGAGCCCAAGTGAAGAAGTTTGACTTAGTAAATCTTGCATAGGGGTTAGGATTTCACTTTTCTAATTTAGGAAGCCCTACTGTTGTTTTTGTTTTGTATAGTTTTGTTTTTTTGTCTTTTTGAGACAGGGTCTCGCTATGCAGTTCAGGCTGGCCTTGAGCTCACTTTGTAGCCCAGGCTGGCCTCGAACTCACAAGGATCCTCCTACCTCAGCCTCTCCAATGCTGGGATTACAGGCGTGTGCCACCACGCCTGGCTGAGGCATAGCATGATCTACTTTACCTTCTGTCCCATTTTGCAGATGAAGCAAAGGCCCTGCAGAGTTCAAGGGATCAAAAGCACACAATGAATGGCAGTAAAGCCCAGCTTACCATGTAGGAATATGTTTTCTAGTCTGGAGTATTTTCCATTCCAGCACAGTTCTCTCAAACTAGTGTAAGAGCAGATTTTTCTTCTTCTTCAAACTAGGTTAAGAGTGCAACTTTGTGTTGGTTTTTTTTCATGCCCCAGAATTACATAAAAATAAATCCAGTGTTGATGAAAAATGGCACTAAATCTTCTCCTTTGTCCTCATAAGCTTTCAGGTAGAACAGTCCTAAGAGAACCTAGATCAGATTATTGGCCCTATTACCAACCATCTCCAATGTCAGTCAGAGTTTAAAGGGAAGACAGATGATCCTTAGCCCAAGAAGGTAAGCTAGCTGTTATAGCTCATCCAGTTTTTCAAAATGTTTGCTGTTATTTGTTTTCTCTTATCCTACCTACAGTAGAGGATCTATACATCAAAGAAGCAAAGCAAGTGGGAGGGGAAGGAAGAATCTTAGACTTCTATCCATTCTTACAGTGGTTCTCAGTGGGAGCAATACTGCCTCCTAGGGATGATTTTTGACAATATTGCCAGGTGGTCATAGTTTCCAAGAGTCTGTAGTGTAAATGAGGGATGTCAGGTATTTAGCATTTTTGCAATCTATCTCAAATCCAGCATGACTCTCTCATACCACGTCAAACATTGACAGAAACAAAAACTGTATTTATAATTATTTGAATCTTGAGTCTAACTTCCTTTTATATACAGACAAGAAGTATGTCTATGTCATGGCTTTTATAGACACTAAATTTCGCAAACTATATAAATGTTTTCTAAATAAAGAGGACCTGTGGGTCCTTGCTGATTCTGCACATTAAAAGCATCTGACCATTATGAATAATCATGATGAAGATTTTTATATTGAAGCCCATCTTCATTCTTTATAGTTTACTGCTTTCTTTATTCTATGAGTAGAATTCAGGCACTATATTGATGATCTGAAGTGGGCTATGATGAAGTATTTCTTATATAAACTGGTCTCTTGGTTAGATGCGATTCATAGTCACACAACCACAGTAAAAGGGGAAGAAAAATACATTTCCATGATATTTCTTGGCCTTAAATACCAGGATGAGTTTTTGGCCAGCCAAATATGGCAAACAATAATGATTTCTGTTTAGGCAATTGTTAAGGGAGTAGCTACTTATTGGGAAATTGGAGTTAGACATGGTTAGTTGCTGATGTGATTTCTGTAAAATCATAAAACATTTTATGCTTCTATCTCAATATGTTGAGAATTCTCAGAAGAGCTTATATTGAAAAAATGTGCAAGTGAAAATCAAATATACTTAGCAATGTAGGGAAGTAAGGGTCAAGGCGGCCCACTCAACTATGTGTTAGTGGATTTTTACAAAACACTTCCAGGGCCAGGGAGATAGCTCAGTGGCACAGTGCCTGCTTGGCAAGCAAAAAGTCCTGATTTCGATTCTTGGTATAAAAAATTTTTTTCAAATACTTTGGGAGAATAGAACCACATAGAGTGGGGTAAATATCTCAGTATCTTTCAGAGATTTCATTAAATTTCTTGCTTATTTAATTTAGAATTAAAATGAGTTAGAGTAAGGCTCTTAGGGTTGTTTTATTTTTGCTTTTACGCGTTATACATAAGGGGATCTCGAAGTAAGAATATCTGATAAATAAAATATTTAATTTACAAAGGGTTAGATTAGGGAGAAGTTATTAAAGTGGTTGTTTGAAAATCCTTTGTTGTATACAGAGGATTAATCACACATTCTTTGAAAGAGAAATGTCGCCAGTACGCTCTGAATATTATTTGATTTTTAAATATTCAGTTTGCTAAAATTTTTTCAAAAAGAAATTATGCATAATAAACTTGAAGTCACATGGATATAAACTCACTATTCTTTTTCATTGTAACATTCTACTTGGGACAATAAAAGATTAACAACTAGCATTTTATTCATTTAGCCAACAAATAGGTTGTGACACCTATTATATGCCTGACACAATTCCAGTTGCATAAGGGTAGAACATTCTATTAAGGAAAATGAACAATAACTATGTAGAAAAGTAAATTATATCATCTCGTTGTTTGAATAGATGCTAAGAAGAAAAATCAATCAGGAAAGAACAGGAAGTGTGAGAAATGTTTCATTTAATCAAAAGTAGCCTGAGAAGTCCTCTCTGAGACAACACTAGGTGACAAAGACCTGAGACACATGAGCAGGTGGGGCCATGCCAGTCTCCGAGAGAGCATTCCAGGGCACAGTGCGGGCTAGAGAAGCATGTTCAGGTGTAATAGGAGGGGACACCTGTGAACCTGGGGAAAGAGTATGCATGAAATCAGTGGCATGTAGGTCTTGCTGGCCAAAAAAATTACATTTATATAGTAGCTAAGATAATTGTACTACTAATTGCTATTGATTTATTGAAAGGAGCAGTTAATGCTTAATTTTTTAATCAATATTACATGCTATGTCTGGTAAGCAGAGCAACTACTTTGAAGACAACAATACATAATATAACATCCATTGTAAATTTCCTATCATCTTATTACAAAATCATGTATTGTTTCTAATTTATTTTATTTTATTGTTTTTATCTTTTTGAAACAGGGTTTCACTATACAGTCCAGGCTGGCCTTGAGCACACTTTGTAGCCCCGGCTGGTCTTGAACTCACAAGGATCCTCCTGCCTCAGCCTCCCGAGTGCTGGGAGTACAGGTGTGCGCCACCATGCCCGGCATATTTTTTATTCTCTTTAAAAGAAAAAAAAAAGTGCTTTACTCTGCTTTACTCTGAATGACTCAGGACACATGAGGTGTTTCAGTAATAGGGCAACATTGCTGTGTCTGAAATGTACTTTAGCAGGGTTATGTTTATGGAGACGAGAGCGTAGGGAATGAGAGATGGAAGCAAGGAAGAGGCAACTGCAAAAATTGAGGTGGGATACGCTAATGACTAAACTCGGTGGTAAGAGTGGATGTGGGGACAGGAGAGATTCTGAACATATTTTGAAAGTATGTCGTTCTGATAATCAGATGCAGAATGAAAAAGATGGGTCGTGCAAGATAGGAACTTTTTTGTGTCTGGGCAACAGGAAAAAAGGATTTGTTATTTCCTGAGATCAGGACCACTACAAGAAGACACCAAATCTGAGATGTCTGTTCATTTCAGTAGGTAGTCTTGAGGTCGGGGGACAGGCCAGAGTTTAAGGGAGAGCTATGCGAAGGGAGGAGGACACCCAGGATAAATTAGAAGAGTGATCAAAGAACCCTGGAGCTCTCTAAAGCAAGTAAGATGTGTAGACATTAGGGAAAAGGTGAGTTTGTTGTCCTGGGGATTAACTGAGATGGCATTAATTCAGTTTTGAGCCTTTGTCACCTTCCAGACACATTGTGCTAGATGCTCACATGCAGTGATTTGTACCTGCGTGGTCATTTTTGCTTCTGTCTTTCTGCCTGAATAAACAATAGCACCTAACAGTATTAAACTGTTTCACAGTATTTACTGAGTAATTACCATAGGTGAGCACTCTTTGGATTGTTTGGGGCAGCAGCAGCAACAAAATCAGCTTTTTTTTTTTAAGCTCCTCCAGGAGACAGAGAAGTAAAAATCATCTCAGGGCATCTGAGAAAAGGGCATCTCAGGTTAAAAAAAAAAAAAAAAAGCTAAAGCAAAGGGAGCAGCTTACAGGAAGGGCCTGATTTGGGAATGAGTTTGTTGAACTAGAATAGAAAACCCAGCATAACTTAAGGATAGCCACATTAAGTGGGAGGGGTAGGATGAGTTAGTTATGATGGGATGAATTAGTAAGGGACACTCTGATAGACATTGGATAGAACCTTGCAGACCATGGTGAGAAGTGAGTGAAGAAGCTACTGAAAAGTTTTAATTTTATTTTTGAAGGAGTCAGGTGTTGTGACATATTCTGGTGTTTAAGAAATACTCTGACTGCTGTGCAGGAATTGAGTGAAAATAAGGAGTTTAGGTAAGAACCTAATCTAGCATCCCTTCTGAGTTGACAAGTTTGAGCCAACTTGATTGTTTG